GTCTTCTGTACAGGGGCCCCAGCCAAGAACTTGGAAGGGAAGAGGAAAAACATATTTTTCCTCCCCTACACACATAGAAGGATTCTAGGGGGTGGTAAGGCTGTCCCTTAAATTCACTGGTAGATGGTCACTTGTTTTGCCAAAGGATAAGATTGCCTCCTTCTTCATGAATAACCATTTCAATTATTTTACATAGGTAAAAAGACGCTATGAAACTTAATTTTAGATATTTAATCTCCTGAAAGCACAAATTAGAAAAACAAAATTTTCACCCATATGAAGATCTAAGAACTGGGTTAGACAAAGTTTTCCCGTTTAAATGATCTATCAAAGCAAAATAGAGGATAAAAATGATATAGGGAGACTACAAACAATTTGAAAAACACTATAAACAACACTTCAAAAATAACTTACTTCTTTTGGGGAAGAAAAAGGTATTATAGAAAGTATCTTTTTTTTCTCTACTGTATAGGACTACATTTTGTTTGGCAAAGGGGAAATGAAATTATTTAAAAAATATACCAGTATTAAGTGTTTATTCATCTTTTTAAACAGATTGGTAGAGTCACATAAATCACAGTTTAATTGCAAAGATTTACCCTGGTCAGAATTAAAGAGTTACTCTATAAAAATTCATTTTTTTAGTTCCATTTTCCTTGAATCTGTGGCTATGTCTGTATGAAGACAACTATTGGTAGGTTTGTTCCCTTGAGATTGGGCCCCTATACAGAGCCTGAAAGTAATAGCTAAGTCTGTGTGTAAGATTTGAAGGAAAGTGTACAGCATCTGAACACATGGTTGGGATCAACACGTCTCATTCAGTCATTAATTTATACTGATTCTTTTGTCTCAACCTGTTTATGCTAACAGCCCTAGGGAGAGACCAATCAGGCACCTGCTCAAAGCTTAGGGGCACGAGCTTGGTCTACCAGCTGCAGCTGCATGGCTGTGGCAAGTTGCTCAGCCTTTTTAGCCTCAGTTTCTTCATAAGTAAAACAGAGATATTAATGGTATTGACATCATAGGGCTAGCACCACGATTGCACACCGTGAGCGCTTAATGCTAGCAATTATTAGAAGTCAATTCACTTACATCTGTCCATTCCAAGTGCCTCTTGTTCTACACTAACAGCTAAAGCCTACGACTGCCGCCATGGACATTTGCATCTTACAGGACAGTAAAAAGTGAGAAGCCCACAGTGTACATCTCTAATTGTGGATTTTCAGGAATTAGTGATACACGTATCCTAGGATTAGGGCATATTAGTAATCCTAAAATCACACTGCAGAGATTTCTGACCATCCCATGCCTTCTCTTGGCTTCAGTGACCTTAACTCCTGGCTTCATCTCTTCCTTTGCTGGCCTCCTTGCTGGTACGAAACGGCCAAGCATGTTCATACACCTGGCTCTTTGTGCTCACTCTTCCTTCTGCCCAGAATGCTCCTCCCCATGGCATTTTCAGCCTGCCTCTTTATGCCATCCAACTGTGGCGAAATACCACCTTTTCTCAGAGGCTTTCCTTGGCTACTTTATCAGACTTTATTACTCTCTATCCTTCTCCTTGCTTTATTCTTAGGTACAGCACTTATGCTATCTAAGATTATATGATGGATATATTTATCTATGGCTCCAATTAAAATGTGATTTCCACGAGTCAGGGAATTTGTCATTTGGTTCAACAACAAATCCTCAAAATCTAGTACACTAACTACTGACTGGCACATACTAAGACAGTCAGTAAATACTTGTTGGATGAACAAACGTATTGGATGAATGCTGCTAGCTCTAAATTCTGATTCTGCTGACTTCTTGTAAGTACAGTCTTGCTTCTGGGTTTAAAGGAAGAAAGACTTCAGAAGTCACTGGATCACTTAACAGAATGTAAAAGGCTTCTATCCAGCCAACTACCCCTACGCTGTAACTGTGATGGGTACAGGCAGGAGACTGCGGGGCTGGGTCTGCTGTCCTGCTTTCTTCCTTATGGGAGGATTTTCTGGGTGCTTCCGCCTGCTGCTGGGTTACCAGGTGATCACGATTGGGCCCTATCCTTGCCTTGCTTCTGCGACCCAGACGTGACTTTCTTGCTGATGTTTTTTTGTTTGTATCATCATGTGGCACTTAATACATGTTGTCTTTACTGTTCATTTATTTGACACAGAAAATATTTTACTGTTTTATATTCTTCATACTAAAAGCAATCTAGTGAATAAGAACAAAACTTTATGCCTTTTTCTTAAAAAAATTATCCACAGCACTATAGATAGTAATATTTCTTGGTTGCTATGAATGATGACATCTAAAAAAAGTCAAATATCCCATTCTAACACATTAATTTGAAGCACTAAATTTATGAGTCTCTTCATTACTATGCACACACTTTCCCCTGCCTTTAATTCCTTGAGAACAGGATTTAAGATTCACAGAGAAAGAAAGAAAGGTCACTTCTTTCCTTGTAGCGTAATCAAACGGTCTGCATCATAAGAGATTATCAAAGATTGCTGAGTTCTCCAGCCTGGGGAGGCCACTGGTATAGTTTGGATGCCTAGTCAAAAGGTATCTTAGAACCTCCAGCTCTCCATTCTTCACTGAGTCCTTGAGACTAGAAGAACCGAATGATAAGCAATGACTCTTGGAAAAGAGTTTAGCTTGTGGTTTCTCTCAAAGTGCTGATTGATACACAGGTGCCAACATTTCGTATTTAGAGGTGGGACAGAAGTAGATATGTGGTGCAATAAGAGGATGCCAGAAAGAAAAAGTTAGGAATGTTGTGAGGATAAATGGCCCAACTTAAAAAAACCTTGGTTTTAAAGCAGGCTTTCAAAAGGAGATTTAAAAACTTCACAAGTTGGGTGCTTTGGGAGGATCATAAAAGATGGCTGAGTTTATTTTCCTTTCTTTACTCCCTTGGAGTCGCCCATTCTAAAGTGGCGCGGAGCACTGTGCGTTCTCTCTAGCCTGCAACTGTAGACAGTAAAACCACCAGGCCACGTCTCTGCCTTGTTCCAACTCTGAACCAAGTGTGGGGGTGACACAGAGGGACTCCTACCTTAGACTCGTCCATACTCATCAGAGAATGGAGTTCAGGCTAGCTCTGCTTTCTGCTGTTTTATTTGTGTTTATTCTGCAGAAAATAAAAGAGAGTATCAATGTAAAAATCAGACTGTGAGGTTTGGAAAATCTTGGTGAGTGTCATTTTCATATTGTGTGTATTTTAAAATTTCAAATAGTTATTTATTTGAAAGGAAACATCAGAAGAGTGTGTGTACATAAACTATTTTAGTAATAGTCTTTAAAATTAAAATACGGGGACAGGCCAGTAGTGTAGTAGTTAAGTTCGCTTGCTCCGCTCTGGTGGACTGGGGTTCGCAAGTTCAGATCCTGGGCATGGACCTAGCACTGCTCGTCAAGCCACGCTGTGGCAGCATCCCATATAAAACAGAGCAAGATGGGCACAGATGTGAGCTCAGCGGCAATCTTCCTCACACAAAAAGAAAATTAAAATAGGGCACTATAATGCTACGCTTTTTTTTTTTTTAAAGATTTTTTAAATTTTTTCCTTTTTCTCCCCAAAGCCCCCTAGTACATAGTTGTATATTTCTCGTTGTGGGTTCTTCTAGTTGTGGTATGTGGGATGCTGCCTCAGTGTGGTTTGATGAGCAGTGCCGTGTCCGCACCCAGGATTCAAACCAACGAAACACTGGGCTGCCTGCAGTGGAGCGCGTGAACTTAACCACTCGGCCATGGGGCCAGCCCCAATGCTACGCTTTTTTGATGGTTTTATGAGAGACTATGGCTAAAGGCTCAACCAAAAGAAAAATAAACTAAAAAGTTAAAAAATTAGAAGCATTTCAAACTCTTGAAGTAACAGACAAGAACAATTTCTACTAGAGCAGGCCCTGGCCAGTGGACTGGAATTCATGCTCCTTGGTGGCCAGCTCACCTCCTCTGCTGAGGGACTTCCAGCACCCCTGATGCCCTGATAACCAGCGACATGAGCACTGTGCTCTCTCCAGACTCAGGGGTCTCCCAGTTTAGGGAAAATAGTAACTTCACAAAAAGATGGGGATGCATCATCTGAAATAGTGGGCTCTCAAATCATATTCTCAGTAATCTAAGATTCTATGGATTGCTTCAGGAGTTCTGCAAATGTATGGTTTGAATGCCATTTCAAAAACTGTGATGGAAAATATGCACATGAAAACTTACTATATGCCAATTTTAACATCTAAGAAAACAGCAACCTGCTAACTCATTTACATACAATCCTCATTTATAGTTCGCGATGCTATAACAGTTATATGTTAACTATGAAGAAAATTAATCACAAAAATTCTTCACATATATTTTATATATTGAGTTTCTAAGAAAGATTTCAATTTAAAAGGGAGGGGCTCTGTTAAAAAAAGTTTGAAAAATCATTCGCTTAGACTCTATAGTAGAGAGAATCAAGGCGTGCTTTCTGAGGATCTGACAGACGATGAAAACATTGTTTCTATTGGGTAGCTGTTCGTACCAAATGCTAAACAAAATCACCAGAAGTTACAGTACATTTCTTAGTAAAATGTCAGTGAAAAATACTTTAATTGTTCTCTATAAGCCAATATTTTGGAAATTATAATGAAAACAACTTCAGTGTTGAGATCTGGCAAACTCTCTCTCTAGGTTATGAGGTAGACGAATACTTCATCTCTGGCAAAATTCTATCTACAGCAGGAAGAACTCAAATGCCCTCAAGAACAGCAAGTACACCAGAGAAACACAAAAACCAAGAAAATATCCCAACCTTCTGTGTTGTTTGGAATACATTTTAAGGTCTCTGGTATGTAGTTATCCTATGAAACATTATGAAGTCTATCCTGGCATCCAGTTCGAGAGTATTCAGCTACCTGAACTCAGGGGAATCCCAGATGTATTCTTTGTTTTCACCACACCCTTTAAATGGAAAGGAAGCAGCATGAACAAGGCCGTAGCGCCCTTTAATCTGCACATGTAAAGGATACTCTTCAGTATTCCGGATGTCCACGACCAGGAGCTTCGGTTTACTGGGCTTTGTCTTCTTGGTGGGTGTTTTGAAGTGACCTGTCACTGTGAGCTCGCACAAGTCAATCAGGTCCTCCGCTGAAATCCGTGGGGATACTTCAGACTTCAGGTCATTTAATGGGATGGACTCTCTTGACTGAAAAATGCACAAACACCACAAACATTGAGAATATTATAGAGAGACACACTACAGCCAGTAAAGAGTATCTTCAGGCTCTTGAGATCAATCACTATAGCACATGCGACAACAGGAAACTCTATCTCATTTTAGCAGTAACTATAACTGTATCCCTTCCGACTGTGTAACTGTAGTCCCGGACTCCTTCCTACTGTATAACTATCCCTTCCCACTGTGTAACTGTAGTCCCGCACTCCCTCCTACTGTATAACTATCCCTTCCGACTGTGTAACTGTAGTCCCAAACTCCCTCCTACTATATAACTATCCATTCCCACTGTGTAACTGTAGTCCCGCACTCCCTCCTACTGTATAACTATCCCTTCCCACTGTGTAACTGTAGTCCCGCACTCCCTCCTACTGTATAACTATCCCTTCCCACTGTGTAACTGTAGTCCCGGACTCCCTCCTACTGTATAACTATCCCTTCCCACTGTGTAACTGTAGTCCCGCACTCCTTCCTACTGTATAACTATCCCTTCCCACTGTGTAACTGTAGTCCCGCACTCCCTCCTACTGTATAACTATCCCTTCCCACTGTGTAACTGTAGTCCCGCACTCCCTCCTACTGTATAACTATCCCTTCCCACTGTGTAACTGTAGTCCCGCACTCCCTCCTACTGTATAACTATCCCTTCCCACTGTGTAACTGTAGTCCCGCACTCCCTCCTACTGTATAACTATCCCTTCCCACTGTGTAACTGTAGTCCCGCACTCCTTCCTACTGTATAACTATCCCTTCCCACTGTGTAACTGTAGTCCCGTACTCCTTCCTACTGTATAACTATCCCTTCTCACTGTGTAACTGTAGTCCTTACTATGTATGTACTGAGGTTTACATTTTTAGTAGTTTCACAGAGAAAAGCATGACTCTTTTGCATCACTCCAAGCTCTTGGCTCAAATGTGATCGAAAGAGATGAGGCAGATTTTTCCTTATGAGAGCACTGTGTATCTTTAAAAACAGCTCCTTTAAGCACATTTCACTTTGCTTCAAGTATAATTACTGTTGTTGTGAACTGCATTAATTACAATTCTGGTAATATGAGAAACTACACTGAAACTCAGTATATATACTAATTAAATAAACTGGTTCTATTGTATGTATTGGTCTTTTATAACATAACGTTATATATGAATGGTTGAGTGGAAATTAGATTCTCAGAGATGAATGAGGAGCAACATAATGCTTTCTTAGATAGTAAACCAAATTGACAATGTACCTTAATTGTGAAGGAGGTAAAATCAGAATCCAGACTATCAAACCAGTACATTGGTCTAATGTCTATTATATGGCATAAGACTGATTCAGACTAAACGCTATTTACTATTATTCTCCATGCTATTTAGGAGGGAGAAGGATTTTTCCAAACCCCTATTAAAGGCAAGACAATAACACAACTCAATTCAACATAAATTTATTGAGCACTAGTAGTCACTCTTGAAAACTTGAGAATTTAAGAACTTCCAAAATTCACTTGATTGAAATATGGGGATTCAAAAAAATTTTACCTATATGCTTACTAAGTTTTCAAAACTGAGTCTACTTATTATCTCCACTCATTTTCTTTCTTTTCTCAATTCCATTGTGAGATTCCACATTTAGAATTTCCAATTTAGAATTTCTAGGCAGGAGAGAATAAAGCATATGAATCACTTATTGGACCTATTTATTTTGAAAACGAAATGTTTTCAATTGGAGTTTGAACGTCGGCTCTCATCCCTTGGGTTTCCCTTTACTTTGCAGTAAATGCTTTAGTGGTAAAGCACTTGTTCTCTACTTTATTAGCCTTTAAATAGAAATGGGAATTGCTAAGCTTTATGGGTTTATGGTTCTTAAAGAATAGGCATTAGGAATTTTAATTTTTTAATATTAGGAATTAAAGCTACTTAAACATTCTGAAGTTAAAAGTGCTTCAGGAAGATTAAAGAGCTTTAAAATCAGCAAGCCATCCAATCGATGCTTCCATCCCCTTTTTCATTGGATGGCAATCCCTACAGGTATTTTTCCCAGGCCTCACATGAAGTTGTACATTTATGAAGATAAAATAAAGAACTTTTGATTACCCTAGTCCTGCTTTTAGTAATTTAGTGATGAATGTGGCATTTCAGACAGAGGCGTCCTCTGAAGGAAAGGTGTGTCCTGGCTGATGAAGAAGAGGACTTGACCAAAGTATTCTCTATGAAGAACTGATCGATTTAAGAAAGATCTGAGCTCGGCATTGGTTCTAATCAAATGCATCACATGTGAGGAGTTTTTCAAAGGAAAGAGAAACCACTATGTGAAATGGTAAGAACAGAAGGAGAGAGGAATCACTGACAAATTTATAAGTTTCTGAGCTTTTCTGAGTGTGTATCAGAAAAGAACTTTAATATGGTGCATGCAAGTTCCTCTGCAAACTAATTAGGAGATTAGTAAGTTAGATTTAGGACAAATTATACTATTTTGCTCTATGAAGAAAATAATTATAATATTAAAAATACAGAATCTAGTTTTTCCTTTATTAGACAGTTTTATATGCCATTTTGCTATTCATGGTATAATTTCCACTTAGAGGCATAAAAATGAAACTTCCTCTGAACAACTTTCATCTTGTTTAGTATCACTGACATTGGCATTTTCCTGTGTGACTGGAGTTTCAAATTCATGGGACTTTGTTTATGGGCAGTGGACAAGAATATAGAGCAACTCTGGAAGTGTCTACTAATTTGTCATTTCTGCCCAAGAATCTGTACACACAATGCATATCAAGCTTAGATGTTCAAATATCAGAAAGCAATATGTCTGAGAACTACTTTTTTTTTTCAACAAAATTCATATTCTATTGTCAACCTAGAGTCAGAATTTATTTAGCAGTGTTACTGACAGAAATCATCTTTCAGAGTGGGGTCTCTGAAATGGTGATCTGGATGTATTAGTGATAATACTAACCAAGCAAGCAGTAATCGGAACCTGGTAACAAGACAGGCATTTTGCTGTATCCATTTGAACCATCGAGAGACTGTCATGAGCCATAAGAGTCTGAAATGGCAGCCTCTTAGTGAGAGTTTGCCTGTATACTCCTATGTTGCATATGTAACCAACATTGTCCTTATGTAGGACATAACTGTACATTTATGTTTCATATGTAAAAGCTCCTAAATAACTACAGAGGCATTTTAACTACGAGAATACAGGGCTGGTATCTAGAACACTCTTCCCTTATTCCCTGTCCTGGATCCTGGCACTACCTTCAATCTAGTTACCCAAGAGGAACCTGGAAATCATCACTGACACCTTACTCTTCCTTATTCCTCATTCTAACAGATCCCCAAGTTCCACCAAGTAGTTCTTGAAACTGCTCCCTGACTCACTGCCCCATCCAAGGCCTCGTCATCTCTTACAGGGACTTTGGGAGCTGTCTGCTTCTTTCTTTCTATCCCCTTGGTTCTCTGCTTCCCTCTTCACCTAAAGCTGTCTCTTCTAATCCATCTTCCAAATGCCATTTGAGAGAAAAATAAAAACCTGATCATGTACCTTTTATCATTAACAACACCTCAGTGGCTTCTAGACATTGAGAGAATGAAATCCAAATGGCTCAGTATAGCACATAAAGCCCTTTGTGAACTGACCCCTGTCCATGGTAGGCAGGAAACCAGAGGCCATGGAGTCCAGAGACTATCTGGATTCAAGTCTTGGCCCCCTACTAATCCGGAGGTGACTCTGGGTGTGATATTTAGCCTCTCTGTCCATTTCTTCACCCATAAAGTGGGATAACAGTCGTTACCTGAACCCTCCTGGGCCCCTGTAAGGACTGAATGAGTTAGTCTATGCAAAGTGTCTAGAATGGTCTTTGACCCACTGTAAAGAGTTCAGTAACTGTTTGCTATCTTTTACCTCTTTTCTCGCCCTCACAAGCTTGTACATGTGCTTCAGCATTAGCAGGCTATTTGCCTTTTCATCCCACTGTGCCGTTGCACACATTCCCTCTGCTGAGGATGCCACACCTTGTCCATCTAATAAATCCCTGCTCACCTTTCAAGTATCAGCACTACCTTCTCTGTGAAGAAAGCCTTTAACTCCTGACAGACATTTACTTTCTCTTCTGTGTCCCCATAGGTATCTGGTGCATGTCTTCATCATAATGGGATTATTCATTTCCCACTAGATTGAAAGTTCCTCAAGGATAAGGGAAAATTACTTTTATACCTAGTCTTCCCCAGGACCCAGCATAAAAGATATTAAAATATATTTGTGGAATATAAATGAATAAAATAGTATTTCTACATCTTCTGCAACTTATCCTGAGTAACTTTGTGCTATAGGGCATGTATATGTTCCTAAGACAACGTGCACAAACCACCATCATAGTAATTATTATATTTGTGATATAGTGTCTGTTTCTCCACTTGACTTACAATATCCTTGAAGGCAGGTTTCACATCTTTTCTTATTTGTATCTCTACAAGCTAGCACAAAGTCTGGCACAAAAGAACTCAACAGATATCTGATGAGTGAATGAGTGAATAAAAATATGATGAAATAATGCTTCAGAACAGAATCTTTTCTTCTGTCTGGATTATTAGACAGAGTCTTCTGGGATGGCAAATCATTAGATTCTCTCCAGCCTCTGGGCACTGCGATGATTAATCAAGAACACTGAATCTATATCTGTTTCAACAATTTCTCATAGTCATCTTTCCTTCCCTCAACTGAAAAATTGCAGATAACAGTGGCTAACACATAAAACTTGCAAAATGTACTCTAATTAATTGAAAGAAGTTAGGTGAATATAAAGGAGGTAAAAACTAAAAACAAAAACAAACTATCCTTAGGCAAGTAGGGGGTATAATTTAATAATAATAAACACATTAATGAAGGAAAAAATAGATAAATACTATAGGTGGTATTTTGGGGAAAATCAATAAAACTGGAAAATTTGTCATGAACTGTGTGTGTGCATGATTAGAAATGAGAAAAA